CTATAAAAAATAATATCTGTGTATATATATATATATATATATATATATATATCATAAATGTTGATATACAAGATCTGCCAAGAAGATTATGTATATATCGAAATATTAGAGTATTTATCAAATATTAATATTATTAGAGTATTTATTGAAAATTAAGACCAAGGAAAAGGAATTAAGCATGACAATACTTCGTATGCACATTGAGAATCTTAAATCAATATTTAAGCAAGGGGGGGGGGGAAAAGCAAAATCACTTTTGAAATGAATCACAGTCAAGACACAGTCTGTTTGACAACCCTTCATTTATTATTTCAAGCCAGATGGATGGATGAACCCTTTTTAAAATGAATCCAATATATTTAGATGGATCACTAATCTGAAAAGCAAAAGAAATAAATGACTACTTACACGGCAACGGGCTCCTTGAATTTGCCGCACTGTTGTATTTGAAACATCAGATCTCCGCCATTCACATATTCCATTACAAAATACAGTCTATCCTAAAAACAACAACTGCCTTATTTAGGATAAAAAACTGTCCTATTCAAATTGAATCGAACACAATCAGTCATTTTGAAACATAAATAACCTAACTCTAGATTTATCATGAGCATCCCCAGCCTCAAGGGTTATCACTGTACTGGTGTAAAATATTTAAAGCAATACTGGGTGACAGCATTTTATGTATGAATCAGCTTAGTTTTGCTAAAGTACCTTTCCGATTAAGACATAGATGGGTCCTCTTGCTCTACGAAGTGGTAGTTGTACATCACTATTTCCGGTCCATGAACGGTGACGAAAAAGCAACCCTTGTGAGGTCACACCTCTCCCAGTTTCCGAGTCGTCCAAGCCACAGGAGAGGACGGTAGTAAAAGAACCATATTCCATGACATGGAGCTGAACACATTCATTTCGCGTGGATGATCACTTGTCTGTTCACACTGACGCACACATAAGGTGATGCTGTCCATCTAGGATTTCCCATGCTGATATTTTTAGATGAAACACACGCCATTTTGTGTATGTCTGCTATCCCATGACTTTTGATACCTTTGGGTATATTATCTGAGATAAAAAAGAGTTTCTTTTGCGCTTAAGGACAATCCTTTTAATCGATGAAAAACTAAACGCAAATGAAGATTTTTTTTCTATTATTTTTCTGCTAATGTCTGGCATTTAGAAGTTGCTAAAATTTATAATTTAAATACATCTCTTAACTGTAATAAGCGAGGGGAAATCAAATGTTTTTACTTTGGGGTCATTCAATTCTTCTCAGCAAAAAGGTTTCGGTAGTTTGTCTCTTAGTCCAAAATGAGATCGAACCTAAGACATGATTAGACACGCACTCTTATGTAAAATCTTAATGATCAGGTGATATACAGCTTTATTGTCTTTACGAGACCGCTTTATATTTGTTTACGTTTCATATATGAATTGCTTGTAATGCAATAAGTATATAAAAAATCTCCATCACTTGTTTCCCTATTGGAAAAAATTCGCAAAACCAGTATCAAAAACCAGTAACAATGATACCAGAACCAGTANATTTAGAAGTTGCTAAAATTTATAATTTAAATACATCTCTTAACTGTAATAAGCGAGGGGAAATCAAATGTTTTTACTTTGGGGTCATTCAATTCTTCTCAGCAAAATGTTTCGGTAGTTTGACCCTTTGTCTCTTAGTCCAAAATGAGATCGAACCTAAGACATGATTAGACACGCACTCTGAAGATTCTATGTAAAATCTTAATGATCAGGATATACAGCTTTATTGTCTTTACGAGACCGCTTTATATTTGTTTACGTTTCATATATGAATTGCTTGTAATGCAATAAGTATATAAAAAATCTCCATCACTTGTTTATATATAAAGCACAATTTCGTGCTTTATTAAAAAACTACAGTGCGTCAAATAATTTTAATACACAAGTATAATCTAACAAATATTCGAATTTATACAATATCCAATTGTTGAAATTTAACTCACTCCCGAAGGTAAACAACCTCGTAATCACCTGATAATTGAGTAGTGCGTCTAATAATTGGGTGAAGCGTTTGTGAGAGAAGGTGTACCACTTACCATCGTCTGAAAGCAGGAGTGTAGCTGAACGAGGAAAGGTGGCTTATTGGCTAGAGCCAAGACACGTTTCTCGACCATGGCACACTCCACGTCATCATCTTGAATGATGATGTCTTTCTTCAGAATCTTGATGGCATACAATTCATCCGTCCCTTTCCTTTCAGCCAACATCACCTGTGAATACACTCAATTTCAACAAGATTTGTTTCCAAGTCTCCATTTATGCAAACCTATCTTCATTTTCTGACGCGACTTTCCAGAGGCAAGTGTTAAGAAAACCAGGCGAAAAAAATGTCTGGATTTTTTTTTCCAGCCTGATTTAAAGTTACTAAAATATGAAAGCTAATTAAAGTTCTCAGTGAAGGTCGAGAGGTTTTCCTCCAAAATAATTTTTAATACAAATTTGTTATGGAATTTCTTTTAAGATAATATAAACCCAATGAAAGAGGTTCGTACTTATAAGGAAATATTCTTCCAACCCACTTGGATCCCATCTGCTTCACAACTTACAAAAAGTGACACTGCTTTGTTTACATAAATGTCGGTAACAGTGAAGGTTGAAAAGCGTTCATTCAATCTAGTTTATGTATAAACATGTAATTCGATTATTTATAAGACTTACAATAGGAAATCCTACTCAGGAAAACAAATTATCTTAAAATAGGTGACATAAATAAATCTCAAAACAGTGATCTTCTCTTAACAACAAAGACAATTCATCATCAAAGGGAAGATATAAAGAAGGGTCTTACCTTACCGAAACTGCCTTTTCCAAGAACCATAATGAAGTTGAAATCGGAAGCCCTGATAACGTCCTGCTTTCCCATGTTGTGAGGAATGTCTGTGATGGCAGATATCAACTTGTCTGATTTCTTCATCGATATCCTTGCCTGCAGAATAGCTTTCATATAATGCAGGTATTATTTATAAAAGTCATAGACTACTCTGAAAACGGGATATCCTGCCCCATATACTTCTTGTCCTTCTACAGCTCGCTTTGCATGCACCTGTTATGACCTCTATAGTTTGTCTAAAGTAAGAACTCGTCTGGACCGATGACAATGGTAACGAGGTATTTCAAGTAGGGGTGTGAGGTATAAGAAAAGTTTTCTCCGAAGCCCTCCTTTAAAGGCGCTATTTTTTCTTGTGGCGGCTCTCTAACCGTAGACAAACTATAAATATATGTTTCCACAAACCAGAAAGATTTGGAAAAGTAAACTCCAGAAAGACGGAAAATTAGTATATATACCTATATTGCAGTCAAAATGACTAGATTGTGAATGCGTCAATAAATTTGTTTAAAATTAATTTTTAAAATTTTTTATATTATTTACAGTTATTAGTAAATAGTAACGATAAAAAAAATTACATGCTGTTCAAAAAGTCACAAAATTCTAAGAAATTGTGTCATTGTATACATTTCTAATTGAAATTAAAAGCAGTCAAAATGACTTCCTTAGGCAATCTAGAGTTAAGATAAACAATACTTTTAGTGAATAATGTATCTTAATTTTTGTATTATAAGTAAACAAGTTTTATAAAATTTTATTTAAAATGTACACCAAATATAAGATAAACCATTTAAGGTTACAACCCTATTCCAAAAAAACTCTATCTAGCATACCAAAAAAAGTTATCAACACTTTGGTAATTAATTCGTAATTATCCCAGATAGCATAATAAGATCTATTTCTATTCGACAAAAACCTAAAAAGGTTTGTTAAGCGGTTTACGTGTAAACCTTCTAACCTTAAGTCGAGCTCTATTCAACACACATTACACTGACCTTGGGAGAAGCAACCTTTTATATAAAAACCTTAAAACGAGATTGGCTTGAAAAACTCCTTTCATAATTTTTTTTTTATAACTCGACCTGCCCTATTTAAGGGCATACGAGTGTAGATTCATAAAACATATATTATACACACATAAAACATCAGAAATTATATAAAATCACAGAAATTTAAAATCACAGATGTCAGCGGCATCAGCCCGACAGAAAAAATACAGCATTACAAGTAACAGCACAAAAAAGGTATAACATCAATGACATCTGCCAAAACTGAGCCATTATAAAAAATAAATAGATAAAAATCCAATACGGTTCCTTACGCAATTAAAAAAATGAAAAGAATACAATACAAAAAATTTAAAATCTCAAGAAGGAACGATAAAAATGGTCCCAAAGTTAAAAAGAAACATAATAACATCACACACTAATACAAAGGACTAAGTAGTTAAAATCGTGACCTATAACCGNAAAAAAAAAAAAAATTAAAAAAAAAAAAAAAAAAAAAAAAAAATTAAAAATTTAAAAACAGAAGAAGGTTGTAAGCCCAGGAGCAACCATCCAGTAGTTAAGCTCAAAGTCTAAAATTAGTAAATTTATAAAAATAAATAATAAAATAGTAAAACATGATAAGGTTGAGACACCCAAATTAGAGGTCGTGGATTCTGAATTATTATTAGACTTTCTCTAGAATATCCTCCAATGTTTGTTTAATGATGGATTTAATTATACCCCTTGCAGGTCGAGCTTGAAAAGCATTGGACTTGATCGAAATTTTGAAAATGATTTCCACAGAGTGTTCGGAATCTTGGGCAATGCAAAATCAAGTGGTCAACATTTTGAAATTCACCACAATAATTGCATGCCGGGGATTTGTTAAAGAGTCAACTTTGATGGTCACCGAACACTCCATGGCCCGCTAAAAATTGGTTGAAACAGAACTGCAGTCTATTATGTTTTGGGTCTTTTATGAATTTATAACCCTGTCTCCCTTTTTCAGAATCCCGCCAGTCTTGTTTCCATCTCTTATTTGTGTAATCTTTGACCATTGTTTTAACTTGGGCGATGGTGCTCGGGGACTCAATAGTAATACTACCGAGACTCCTATGTGGGCCTTTACCCAATTGAGTTTGATCAGAGTTGTTTGGTTTTTTTCAACCAAAAGGGAGACAGATAAAACTCCTTTCATAAAGCAAGCTGAAAATAATCTCTTTTCTCAGCTGACCCCCTGTCATGAATGCAATTGGATCGCCAGTGTGTGACGTCACCTAAAACGATTCTTTTTAAAGCTTCTTTGAAAAACAGTGTCCTTTTGAAAAACTGCAATATTTTTCTTGCTTTTATTGACAAGAAAAGGTTTTTTAGTAGAAACAATAAAAAGGAAAATTCCGACACAAGGTTGTTGATATTTCACACAATGTTAGAAGCTTATATGAGTGCCTACCTTCATTTGAGTTTTAAGCTCTGAAATATCTTTGTCTTGTGGAGGTACGGGCACGTTGTAAAATTCGCCCTCTTCGGCTGTGAGCAATTTGAACCATCCCTCTGCGGGATTTTTCATGATTTCTGAGATCCCGAAGGACAGGGATCCCATAAAATCATTCCTCGACGTCCTGTCCCAGTCCCACACTTCTACCAACAGGCGTCTGTCCTTGTCCTCTGGTTTGAGATCACTGCAAAAGTCTGTCTTCAATTGCATATATATATATATATATATAAATACAAGAAAACACTAAGAAAGTTAAGTTAATATTTAAATTATTCTTCATGTTGTACCCGGTACGGAGAGCCTAAATCAGAGGGGAACTTCGGATCGACATCCTGCTACTCTGAAAGCAAAAGCGAAAGCAAACGATTTTTTGAATTGCATTCTATTCCCGAAACTTTACCTTCCTATAAAGCGTGTGATGATAAAAGATGCAAAACTTGCCCTAATATTGACAAAAAACATACTGTTCCTTATAACGTTAGCTCCAAATCTTTTTGTAAAATTAAAAATGTTATTTATATGTTAACCTGTGGTTTCTGTAATATGAAATATGTTGGACAAACTAGTAACTCACTTAACATTCGAATTAATCAACACCGTTCTGATATTAACAGTAATAAGACTATCAATAACCTGGAATTGAATCATTTTAGAGTACATAAATTTAACAGAGTCAAAATTAATATCTTAGATATTATAGAGGATTTAGATTTAAGACTACAGAAAGAAAATTACTACATGCTTCTATACAAAACAATTCTGCCGTATGGGCTAAACGATACCTTCCAACATACACAGATTAACTACAATAACTCATCAACTTATTCACTTTTTCATATTAAAGATAAGCGTACAAATCGAGGTAAACGGGGTTCAAGAAGTAATAGAAACTCTCTTAATAGTGACAAATTAAATATAAAATTTCTTTCTAATATGGAAAAAGACTTTAATAAACAATATAGCATTAAACCAATTAAAGATTTTGTCTTCTCCCTTAAGAATTATGAAACATATAAGTTCTACGATCTTATTATTAACTTTTCTTTCATTAATTTACATTTCAAAATTCTTTGTTTCGATCTTATAAAAGCCAAAATGAGCAAAATTTTGCCTAATAATAAGAAAAGTTTAGATAATTTATATTTCGTTATTAACTTTCAAAATCCTATTTTC